AGACAGCCGACAAGCAGGCTTTGTACAAGCGAGCAGAACATCGATCAATGACATACATGATTGGTCTTGATTCAAATGCATTGGGAGACACGAATTGTTAGCAAAGTCTGTTCTCGTCGTTGCAACGTTAACGGGAGTCGTCGCCGCATTCGGCAATCGTGAAGATAGCCCCTGTGGTCACGTGGCATTCTCAAGCCCCGTTCCAGCCCCAAAGACAAACACGCATTCCCTGCTTTCGTTCTGTAAATATGCTGTGGCTCGTGGCTTAGCTGAGCTGCTTGATAAAGGCGAAGGGCCAGAACCGGGGGCCAGTGTATTCAGTGTACCTTTTCTACGCCTTATACCTGGAGATCTACTAGCTACAGCCAGGACTTGGAACAAGATTGCTTGTTTACCACATATGATGTGCTGATTCGAGTTGAACTAGTTCTGCTGTATTGATTAAGTATAATATAAGTTCACTAGAAGTTCAGCCCTAGGGCAGTTCGTATGTATTCAAACCGAATCAATCTCGCCGCCTCAGCACCAGTGAACTATGTGCCGATTGCCGAATACTACCATGCTATCAACAAACCCATAATCTCATATCAAATACCATGTAACATCGGACCAACGGAAAGGTCGAACAACAGGAAACAGGGTGGAATCATTTTACCATTTAGAAGAAAAGGAAAAATGGAAAATAAAAACAAAAAAGATGGATCTTCTCTAGACTCACTTTTCTCACGTTACATCTACTTGCTATCCGAGCCCTAAACCATGGCTACCGATAGAGCGGTTCCGCTAAAACTCTATCAAGAATGATGATTTTCTTAATCATTTGAGCCTCGAACAATCAGATATGAAGTCAAATTACGTATTATATCATTATATACAGATATGATGCAAGGGCAGCAATGATTAGTCATAGATGATCGGAAAGAAATGCGACCTTCAAAGAGCATACTCTGGTGGAACCTCCGGCCATTCGTCGACGCCATCAAGTAAAGCAACCCCCATACCATTGGCTAGATGTGTTTCAATATGGCAATGGATGAGGAAAGGACCTGGGTTAATCACTTGGTACCGAATGACCATCCATCTTGGACCGAGTAGACCCAGTACCATATAAGTATCTCGCAACCGCGGTCGCTCAAATTCGAAAAGCTCCGGCTTTTCCGTAGCTGCCTCGGCGACACTCGTCCAGTTGAAGAACCCATCGCCTTCTCCGACGATGAAGGCTTTGTTCGAATGCTTGTGAATGATATGGGGCGCCTGAATAGGTGGGGTGTCCGGCATTATACCAACCTGAAGTAAAACATCCACCCAGGTTCCATTCTGAGTTTGAACGGTGACTTTGTCGGCTAAGTTCTCCTTCGCGGTCAGGTTGTATAGGATTGGATCGTCGTAGTTGGCCATAACGTCATACAGCTGCTTCCCTTCAAGTGTCCATTGATATGCCGACTCTCGCCGACCAAAGGTGAGGTTGATCAGCTGGTCGGCAGCCGTCGGAAGCTGGATGCTAGGATACGGCACCAAAAGACTCTCATTCAAAGCGATCACGTCAGCAGTGGTGTTTAATCCACCATAATTGACATAGGGCTCGGAATCTTCAACATGATTACCGCCTTTGTATCTCAAAGTGGCAAAGCCTGCGATGATTTGATCCGCATTTGTGTCGGGAATCCTAATCGTATAGTCTTTCGGCGTCTTGTCTAGTTTAATCATTGCAGAGTAGCGCTCGCCATTGTACATCACCATAGTGTGTGCGAGTTGAGGCTCAATATAATGACCGTCAACCTCGTAGATCCACATAGGGTGCTCGTCGATAGATGCGATAAAGGCTTTAAGCCATGCGGCACTAATGAACTTCATACTGACCCATCCGTCCTCTGGATCAACTTCAATTATTTCATGACTCCCAGCGGTGGCGACGCAGCCTGACTCTAGCCCGGGTGGGACCTTTGAGTCGTTTCGAGGGAAGCTTCCTTGGGTCTTGTAGATCTTGGGATAGCACCTTCCAATCGTTCATTAGCGATATATGGGCTCTTCTTAGGGGATAACAACATACCCTTTATCTGTTAGCGGCAGGTAATCGATAGATTCCTTCAAATAGATCGTTTGAAGGCTGTTGATAAAATCAGCTCCAGGACAATGCACACGCCCTCGCCCGTTAATCAGAATACTGTCAACGCAGCTGATAGACTATTGTCAGTCAAATACCCTATTTGCTCTAGTAACGGGGTTCGTACAAAAGATCTACCCCACTCTCCTCCATAATAGTTTGGTATTCTTCTGAGGTATAATGTGACCAGTCCGATAATATGACGAGCTTAGGGTCCTGTTCTGCTTTGCGCATGGCTTCAATATCGTTTTCATCATCGGATATCAAGTGAAACGGCTGTGGGATCTCAGGAGCGGGACTTATCATGTCAGTTCTTTTCATAAGATAGAGAGACATCTCAGTACACACTTTATCCAAATAGCTCCGTAGAGACCGTCCGCCATCAGAGACCGGGCGTGGGCATGGTACCAATACGTGCCATATTCTGTGGCGGTCCATCGGTAGGTAAATGTGCCTCCAGGTAAAATAGGCTTCTGTGTCAAGCCAGGAACGCCATCCGACCACGGGGTGTTCAGTTGCCTGTATCAAGTTAGATACTCCGCCATCGACCAGCTCTGCATAAAGATGCATGGTAAAGACGTGGCCGCAGTGCTGTACATACTCTATCCCATGAAAATGCACGGTGGCATTGAAAGGCATCTGATTATTCACCGTGAACTATGGAAGATTAGTCAACTGAAAAATGTGGCGGACAATGATGAAAGGGGAGATATATATAAATATATATAAGCTCAAACACATACCTCCACGTCATCATATTGGTTCAGTATCAACGAAGGGGACGGGAATTGGTCATTCACAAAAATCATGTCTCGAAGGTTGCCATCTGGAGAGCCTTTCGCCCAAGTCAGATTCGCCTCGAATTTAACAAGCTCGGCCAATGCCGAAGGAAGCAGATTGGCACCGAGCAACGCCACGAGGGATTTCAAAGGCGCCATTTTTGCAACCCACTCTAGAAAGTAGATAGAAAGACTTATTGAGGAACATGGTGTTCAATTCCACAGAGTTTTCTAAGCGTCTTAAATAAACACGTCTCATGTTAGCCAAGAATCAGGTATGTACATGCAATGCTATGTCGGCCGGAAGCGTAGCAAACATCAACAGGGAGATCTGAGTCCGAGAACGGGCATTCCTAGAGTTGAACTAGTCTTCGGGAATTGAGCTGCGGGACCCACAGGATAATACGAGATCCAATGTCAATAGTAAATGAAAATGTGACATATTTGATGATTATAAAAGCGTTATTAGTTAGTACTTACTATCTTTTGTGTTCCCTCTGTTGTGGTCATGCCCAACCTCTTGTTCTCTCAATCGTATATACAAGGGTTGCGGACCGCTACTGATGGACTAGTAGGAGTAGTAATCAAGATTTATTGATTTTAATCCAAGCACGTGCCGCTCGCCAATGTCGATGCACATCAAACCCCTGGAGACGGAAAAATGTCAACACTGTCGAATCCCGACATCGTGGCTGACTGCTGCATTGTATTGCAGAATGCACCCTGGAATTGCTCCGTTCACAATACATGTGTCAAGCTATTTGAACCAGCTCAGCCACGTACACAGAGTTGTCTCCTTATGGGAAGACAAAGTGATGTGTACTCTTTACTGGTTTTGGTTCAACAAGGCAAGGGATAAATCCTGCAGGTTCAAGGGAGGACGACTGGAATGTCAATAAACAGGAGAAAGGAGAGACCAGCCACATATCAGGGCTTTTCTTTTATTTTTATTTGTTATTTTTCCCTCTTCCCTTCATTGCTGTTCGCTTTCAACCACAGTCTTGGCCCGAAGCGAATGAGGCGTGAAGCTACACCAATAAGCTAATGCTTCTTCGTAGTTTGGAATCCAGCATTGTCCAAATCGAGGGAAAGGATTGTGAAAACTTTCGAGTCAGGGGTAGAGAGGGACTCCTTCCCCAATGTCTCACAATGATAATGTAAATGAATCCAAAGACTGACTCTTGCAACAGATGCCTTCCTAAGTCCTTGGGGGGTTTCTCGTTGTTGTCTTATATGGAAAGATTGTGTCCATTGTTGCCACAGATTCTACCGTAATGTGAATGCAGATGATAAAGTCTATCAAAATAGAATATGATTGGGACTCCAACGGCATGCTGTCCATGGGTTGCCGTGCGGGTAGTGGAGAGGATAAACCATGGGTCGCCCAAAGAGAAGGACATCCAACTATACGGGAGTTAATCTATAAACAAGTGTGCATATCGTGCAGATGACAAAGAAAATAAAATCGGACAGTCTCCCCTGTGTTGGTCAAGAGTGAGTACTTCTATAATTATGGAAGGGGATTAAGTAAAGACAGAGAGAAAAAAGAAAAAAAAATAACACAAAGACCATGTTGGAACAGACTTTCGTATAATCCAGGATCTTGATTGATCACGGGGGACAGTGCGCATTAAGCTTATCGATAAGCCCGGCGACTAGTCCCAAACGGGGGCCCACGTAAACACCAAAACAATTCGGGCCTCACCGTGACTTCAGCTCGTTCTCCGTCCGTCGCTTCAGACCCTTGCACGACTTGCTGCTTCTTTCTCTTTCGCATCGGACATTTAGTCCTCCCTTCCATGTGAACTGATATGGGCAGGGAAGAATTGCCTTTTTAATCTTATCAGTTTTCTTCTCTTCCTTCTTGTCCGATTATTGTTTCTACCCTCGTCCTATCATGTTCCTGTTCCCTCCGTTGCACGGGTCCTAGTCCTTTCATAACTGCCTTTCATTTAACCCGCCGGGGAGCTTCCTTATACCCTATCCCAAAAGTGGTTGAACCCCCTTGGCGTACTCTTTTGATTGATTGCGCCACTCATTGTTCCTAACACTTAGTGAATACGGTGCTTTATCTCCGACTAACGCCACCTCCTCTCCCCCACTCATACTCGCCCGCGATGACCCCAAGCGCGCCTCAGCTACCCTCCCGGTTCCCATGCTGGTGTCGAGCTGTCTATTCGTGGGGCGGAGAAACTAAGCGTGATCTGGGATTTATAGAGGGGGATCTCATAGAATGCCTCAATGCCGGAGATGGTCAGTGGTGGATGGGTCGGTTACGACGAGATAGACGCATGGTGGGCCTGTTTCCATCCAACTTCGTCGAGGTCCTAGGGGAGGATTTCGTTCCGGTCAGTCGGACAACAACAGGCCCAATGGTTCAAGCAGCTCAATCGCCGATCACAAATCCTACGTCAGCTCCGAAAAAGCAAAAGACGGTATTTAGGAAGCCATTCCAGGCACACAAAGAAGCGCTTGCGCCCTCGGGCGAACTCGCAAGGAACGGGACTTCAACATCCCTTGTCAAGAGTTCAATCCCGCAAACACCTCCTCGTGATGGCAGTCAACCCCGGAAAGTCAAGCCTCTGCGCACCCCCGCGAGCTCAATGAGGCAATCAACTCCTACTGTGAAGTCTTCGCGATCCAGGCCTCCTTCACGTGCGATATCCCCTCGTCCCCCGCAAGAACCCGATCTGCCGTCAATATCCACTCCTATCACCTCAAATCAAACAGTCTCCCGACCCAGGCCTCCCTCGCGAGCAGTCTCCCCCCGCCCACCGGAAGCCGATCCACCAATCCCCACTGGGCAGGATCTGGTGATTTATAGGCCTCCCTCTCGTGTAGCATCTCCTCGACCTATGGATGAGTCTGATATGATACCACCTTCGGTACCTAGACACAACGTATCTCTATCCCGGCCAACTTCCCGCGAGATCTCTCCGCTGCAGCTTCAGGAACGTGAAGAGTCGCCGCCACCGCCACCTCCTCCCCCACACAGAGTCGCTGTCAATCGTCAACCGTCCATGGAGATGGGTGTCCCCGCTCGCTACGATATGAACGACCGTTATGTGACAATACCGAGGACCCCCTCTCCGGCGGCACATTCAGATGTAAACGGACATACACCCTCTCCCCTGCGAGATGCAATGGAAGATGTCATGACCTCTTTAGAGGATATGGGCATGTCCCGAGAGACTCATTCGTCATCTCCTCAACCGATGTTTGATAACCCATGGTCACCAGATGCTTATGAAAGTCTACGGGACAGTCGATCTTTGCAGATCATGAATCGCCCATTGACCTCATTGGGATTTGATGGTGAAAAGGAGTATCAGTATCATGGTGGCCAGCCACATAGGGGCAGCGTATACGCGCAGGACCACTTCCTTGACGGACCTCCACAGTTGAACAACTACGTGCAAAGGATGGAAAGCCGGCTTCGTCAAATGCAGGAGCAAAGCCGAAGAGGATCTGAAGATATAGAAATGCCAGAGGATGATGAGGAACCTCCTCCGCCACCTCCCCGAAATGTTCCTTACCACGGGAGACACAACTCCATTCCGGCCCAGTATCCCTATCTAAAGAACCGCCGTTCTGGGCAAGACATGAGAGCGGAGATGCTCAACCGGAGCTACACTAATAAGTCGAGTACTACAAATTCTTCGAGTGGGGTGCAGAGTAACGGTACCAACATAACAACTAGCACCGAAAGAACCAGTCAGAGCCTGATGAGTGGTCCATCAGCCGGCGGATTTAGTGCGACCAGCGCAGGGAGTTATGCCCGGAGAGGAACCGGAGCAAATGAGCGACCCAATACCGCACTGGACACTTTCCGCACAAGAGGCTTCAGTGATGTATCAAAAGTTGTGCGGCCCGAAACCCCCCTAACCGGAGTATCGTATCATTCGAGTCATAATACCTCTCGACAGGGCGCTTCGTCAGCCGTTCCCTGGTCGCCTTCGGGCACTGGACCGGAGGAGTCTGCTGGAGTATTCGGAGGTCTTTCCACCCCCAAAGCCAAGAAACAAGGGTTTTTCAAAAAGATCTTTGAATCCGCAAAGACCGGTGCCGCCAATGCCAGAAGCAGCATCGCAGTGGGGCAAAATGGCGGGTCCTATTCACCTACGAAGGGTAGAGCGATTTCTCCAATCCGCTCTTCACACTCCCACCGTGACACTGCTCGGGAGATGGGACTCGGCAGTAATGGTATCGATTGGGTCCAAGTGCGGCGCGATGTAAACCGAGCAAGCTCTCCCAGTCGAAACGAAAGAATGGAGAGAGTTGAGCGGTGCCATATGATGGATTATCCAGTTATTTATGCGGTAGAGGAGCTCTATGAGACCGCTGAGGGCGATGAAAGCATTGATGGTTTACCAATCAGTGAACCTACCAACTTTGGGTCCGTCAATCTCTCTCTTGTCGACAAGAGTGCTCGCTTCGTGAACAGCCTCCCCCCAATGACCAACCCTATGAGTCTCGCGCAAGGGTATGTCTGTCGGCCTTACAAGAGTGATGTTCAAAGGCTTCGCGCCATCTTTACTTGGGTCAGTGAAAAGATTGCTTGGGATGAACCTGTTGAAGAAGTCGGAATGGACCTCAAGCGGGTACTGCAGACAAAAAGGGGAAGTCCTCAAGAAGTTGCATTCCTCGTGAGAGAAATGTGTGCCGCGGTTGGCTTGCACGCCGATGCAATTAAAGGGTATCTTAAGTCTCCTGGCGAGCTATTTGAGCTAGATAGCCTATCCCGAGCCAATCATTGGTGGAACGCTGTACTGGTTGATGGTGAATGGCGCATCATGGACTGTTCGTTAGCAAGCCCAACCAACCCGCGGAGGAGTCAATTCGTTACCAACAATCCTGCCTCGGCAGAAAGTTGGTATTTCCTCGCCCGTCCTCTTGAGATCTGCTATACGCATGTACCTCTTTCTCATGAGGAACAACACATCTGCCCTCCCATTTCCCCCGATGTGCTTCTTGCTCTGCCTACCACTTGTCCAACATACTTCAAGATGGGTCTGCAGTTTCCTGATTACGATACCAGCGTTGTCCGAATTGAGGGTCTCGAGGTCTTACAGATCCGTCTATTCGTACCGCCAGATGTAGAGTGCGCCGCTGAACTCGAAGCTCCCGCTTTCGCCCGGGACGCAGATGGTGACTTCTTCGAAAGTGGAGAGATAGTACGCAAGCGTGCCCTGGTTCAGCCCGACTGGGTCAGCGGTCAAAAGCGTATCACTGTCAAAGCCATCTTACCAGGCGACGAAGGACAGGGCACGCTCAAGGTGTATGCGGGAAAGAAAGGACTGATGCACTCCAGCCGGGATATTCCACATCCTCTAGCCCTCGCTCTCCCAATTGTTCATACTGGGGAGAATCCACCATATGATTTCGTGCTCCGTCATCCAACCCCTCATGCCCAGCGTCATGATTTGTATATCATGCAGCCCCAGTGTGCAAGGCTTGCGGTCAACAATACCTTCGTCTTCGCCGTACGGCAGCATCCATCCTCCACGTCGTCTTCGTCAACGAGCAATGAAGCAGGTGTCAGTGGGCGAATCTCTCCGTCCGTGTTTTCTCGACCCGCTAGTGCACTTAGCATGGTCTCCAGCTCTGCCGGTGGGTCCTCTGTGTCCACCGTCTCCAACGAGTTCTCCGCGTCGACGTCAGCTATCTCTTCAGGTCGGTCGGCCTCCGGGCGGGAGAAGCCGGCCAAATTAGCGATACAGTCGCCATCAGGCAAGATCCTGCGGTTGACTCGGAAAGCCGACCACATGATCAGTGCCAACCCCAATGCCGAATCAGGCACCGATGCTACAGCGGACGGTAGTGTCTGGGAAACGGTCATCAAGATTGGGGAGCGGGGAACCTGGAGAGGCTTGGTCCTCGCAGATCGTGTCGCCCGGTGGTGTGTCTTCTGTGAATGGGAATGTTTTTAGGATCTGGAGTATTCCTGGCTGAATCTCGCTTATCAGCCATGTTCATGGAATACTTTTTGATATCCTGATCTTGCTTCACCTCAAGTCCGATGATTTTTCTCCAGACGATCCTCAACAATAGAGAGCAAACTGGTCCAATTTCCTTTAATATGTTCTTTTTCTTTTCTCATTGCGCTCCTTGCTTCACGGTTGCATGCATTGCATTATCTGAGTCGGGGTTGGGGTCCTGCATGGTTGCATCAAGTAATGTTCATTTGATTTGGTCAGGCTTACCCTAGAGGGGCAGCATCATGGATTCAGGTTACGACATATATGGGAGTTAGCGGGTATATTCTCAATTCGATAGAGCTGGTGTTCAACATGTGATTATCCATTCTGTTTACTTTCCCTTTTATGTTTTCCTTTTACACATTATCTGAGGCATGTTGGATGGTTGGGCACCAGGCTTAGCGGTTAGATTTGGACGCTGTTTACCTAGACTTGGAGAGGCGTCAGTGCAAACGTCTTCTCAGATCATTGCGTGGAATAGATGTATTTGTAACGCTGTTAGGTCCAATGAGAAAGAATGATAATGTACTTCTAACGATTAGATGTCTATCCAATTAGTCTCTATCTCAAAGAGGTCACAGCTTCCCGCACCATCGGGGCAACCTGCTTCCTGCTCTTTGTAGTATCCGTTGCCGTCCAGATATGCCTCCACTTGTGGGTATCGTCACTATTAAGAGTGTCCTTCATAGCATCCGACAGACCACCTTCGTCACCATCGACAGAAGACCATTCCTCAAGACCCAACTGGGAGCTGGACTGCGTAACAAAATTCTTCAGGGCATCAACTGCAAGGCCCTCGTCACGCGCACATACAAACAACTCCCGATGAAACTTGCCATCACTTGAACTGAACGCCGCCATGACAACGACAATGCTCAGTTCCCGTTTGGCGGCAAATCCATACACTGCATCCAGGAACTCTTGCGGAGATCTTGCCTTCCGAACAACCCACGGGATCGACCTGACCATAGAGCAGAAGCCGATATTAAGGGGTGTTCCTGGTTCACGGGGAGACGTCTCGGTCCACTGTTTGTAGTCTCGACCCAGGATCTCATCGACCGTCAAAAGATCCAGACTGTTTTGCTTGGCCTCGAGGACTTGTGCATAGAGCTTGTCCTTGTCGGTCACATCCTTGTTGAATTTGGGTGTCAGGAAATCCACAGCCTGGATGTCGAATTGGGTGACTTTGTCTTTCGCTGTGAGATTGGTGGTATCAATTAGAACGGGAGTTACGGCAAGCGAGGCTACTTGTTCCTCAGCCGCCATCCGTGGTGTTTGGGCTTCTTCTGCTCTCCCCTCCGGCCATATTCCCCGTTTGTTCAGCGTGTGTATAACAAGCGACACGCAGGACCCGCTCTTCTCGATGACTTTTGGTTCGATCCCAGGACTAAGGAATCCATCATCTTGGTGGTGATCAATGCAACCTATCACGTTGAATTCAACCGTCGGCAGCCCGTCTAGACTACCCTTTCCTTTCTGTGTGCCGATCGGCAGCGCATTCCAGTCTACGAGGACCGCGTCGGCGCTTATCTGGTATTCTTCATTATCCTTTCCATTCTCTTTCATGTGCGCATTGAAATCTGCCACGGTGAGGATATGGTCGTGGAGGATCACCCCGGCTGATTCGGGTGTCTCTTCCCATGCTTGTTCACCTCGCGCCGGGGGGTGAGTTGACAACCATAATGCTTTGACAAATTCCGGTCGCAATCGGCGCAGCTCAGAGCCCGATGGAACATTCGGTAGGTTTATCAGGGGAACATGGTGCCGGCCAGTGTTGTTGGCGAAGTATGAGTAGGTTATCGCGGAGATAATAGAGTCGAGGTCCGCGGCGGGATTGCCGATGACGTAGACGGGTGCTTCTGCGCGTGTCAATGCGCCGGAAAGAAACCGGCGATGTGTCTGCAGGGCGGTTTTTAAGAACCGGAAAAGAGTGTGCTCGGAATTATTAGCCATTGTGTGGATTTGTGTGATGCTGTTCCCCGCGGTGTTGACGGTGACGTTTGGTGATGGTGATAAGCGATAAGAAATATATATCTCCGTATCCATGGGCAGAATATCACCGCACCGTCTCACCGCCGACCCCCATTTCAGGTGTCAGCTCAACATCATTTTTGAAGCTATTCACAATACACAGAAAATGCAATCGACCTATAAAGCCGAGGAGGAGATTATCCAAAAGGCCCTACACGCGTACAATGAAAAAAGTCGCGTAGAAAAACGGGTTAATATCACCAAATTGGCGCGTTATATAATGCAGAGAAAGGTGCCATGGCCTCTGCAGCTCTGGACGAGCTTTCTAAAGACAAGGAAGCGGCCTTCTTATTCAATGTCAAGATCTAAACGCCAGGCTAAGAAAGGCTAGTGTATGTAGGAGATGTACGGCGTCATATTGAAGCTCAAGATATAGCTGATATCGGGACTCGTTGGCGGTCTACAGCTTAAAAGCGTCAACAGGAGAATAGGGCCTCTATAAAGCGGCTCAGTGACGGACTCGATAATGCCCCAACACGGGCCTCATCGAGCCGAGAAAATACAGCATGGGAGAATCTATATATTGTAGATATGCAGGGGGATCCTCGTATAGCTTGATGTATATAGAAATGACGTTGAGCCGGGAATGCCCTGCTGAAATACTTCAATGGGGGTCGGCAATGATGCGGTTACTTCGTACATACCCTGACTTGGTCATTCGATACAACAGCATATAAAGTTAATCGATAACGAAACCAAAAAGGAAAAAAAAAAAAAAAAAAAAAGGGAATGAGAGCAAAACGGCGCCGTTCCTACAACCAAGCAGGGTTAAAAAATGTGCAAAAAAGAATTGGTCCCAGAGAGGCTCGAACTCTCGACTTCTGAGTTATTAGCTCAGCACTCTAACCGACTGAGTTATGGGACCCGGTTGTGATACCGGCCTCGAGTTCAAGCTGTATATAGCATGCTCAATCTCCGAGAACAATATATACTTCTCCCATTACATCACATCTCTCCTCCAAATCAACAAACCAACCCACTCATCAACATGTCCTTTTCTCTCCCAGAAACATTCGCAAAGCTCCCCAGATACCCTCTTCTATATCCCTCCCCCTCTCCCATTCATCCTCTCCCAGCATTAACCAGATATCTCAATCCCAACCCCAAAGCCGCCCCCGCAGTCTCCCTCTTCGCCAAGCGCGAAGACCATTCCTCCCCACTCGCCTGTGCAGGCAACAAGTACCGCAAACTCGAGTACATCGTCCCTGACATCCTGGCTAATTCAAGCCCACATGGACTCGGGGAAAGATCAGGAGCAAAGGCCATCACCACCTTGGTGACCGAGGGTGCTATCCAAAGCAACCATACAGTGCAAGTCGCCTCGGTAGCGCGACGCCTCGGACTCGAGGCAATTGTTATTCTCCATAAAGCTACAGGAGGCGGCTTAACTGCTAGTTCAGATAAGAATGCTTTTCTACGCACGGGAAATGTGCAAATTGCCCGGCTTCTAGGCGCCGAGGTGCGGATGCTCGAGAATAGCTCGACGGTGGATGACGGGGATCCGATTACGCCGATCCTGGAGGAATTGCGTGCTCAGGGGAAGGCTCCCTATTGGATTCCATCGGGGGCCAGTTTGCATCCTTTAGGCGGGCTGGGCTATGCGCGGTGCGCCTTTGAAATTGCGGCGCAGGAGAAGGAGCAATTAGGGGGCAATGGCCGGTTCGAATATATTTTTGTTGCGTGCGGGAGTGGGAGTACCGTGGGAGGCTTGATTGCGGGGTTCAAGTTACTGCAGAAAATCGAGGCTCAGACACGACAGGAGGAAAAGGAAGAGAGGGTCATTGGTCGTAAGGTCATCGGGATCTTGACTTCCCCTACCAAGCCGCAAGAATATCATGAAGGTCGAGTGCTCAACTTTGCCAGGCGTGCGGCACGTCTCATTGGATTAGACCCTGAGCGGGACATCACGCCGGAAGATGTCCATTTAGACGATCGATTTGCTGGCACAGCCTACGGAGAGCTGGATCCGACATCCAAGGAGATCCTGGCGTTGATAGCGCAAGAAGAGGGGGTCATTGTTGACCCCGTGTACACAGTCAAGGTCATGAGGGGCGCCATGCACTGGGTACAAGAGGGCGAACTCATCAGAGACTGGGCAAGCCGCCTTGAGACCTCGTCCAGCGGGAATCGAGTAAATGCACTGTTTATCCACACCGGTGGGCAGACGGCCCTAAGCGCGTATGCAGACATCCGCTAAAGTGGCAAAGGCGAGAATGACAGCTTGAGCGAACTAATGTCTATTCATTAAGAGTACAGAATAACGGTAGTCTGACTAGTAGTACACAGAGCATAGGGCCAAACAAAGCAAAGAGAAGAGGAATCAAGTAAACATGAGCATACCGCTCAATGATACCAGCGTACAGAGACGGGCTTGTTTGGCCTTTTAGAGGCATAGGTGGTGAAATGAGATGACAGGCCATGGGCTATCACTTTAGGTTCACCCATGTAAATATAGAACGACGCGAATATCAATTGAAGCAAAGAAAGAAGAAAAGGTGAAAAAAAATAACATAAAGATAAGACGAAGAAAAAGACCACACGAGTTGAGAAATTGCCAGCTCCCCAGACACCCCACATTTTTTAAACACCCGGTCCATGTAAGCAGACGTAAGCCATGGCAAAGAGAGAGACAGAGAGAGAGAGAGAGGAAGAGAGGAAGAAGCAACAGATCGCTGAGTCGCAACAAATAGAAAGATTGTCAAAACCGGCTGACACGGAAAGCACGTCTCGGGAACATCAATACCATATAATAACTTTACAGAAAGAACACAAGAGTAAGCCTCCCTGGAGACTTGTAAAGGCAACACCCTGGAATGTTGGATCATGCAGAAAACCATGGATCAAACGAAGTCTTTTGATCGAGCTCGTTTTGGAGATATCGTTATACTCGCATTGTTGTCATGAATGCGCAAGGCAAAAAAGCTGGAAGAGCCCGTAAAGCGTCCACTTCTTGATAGACATTATTCTCGAAAACAACGTTACAGCTCCTCTGTATTGCGATCGCCCTCACCTGAGCCGTTGGCTTCCGCGCTAGACTTATCGTCCTGTGGCTCCTCATCCTGTGGAGTTTCAGAACGATCCCCATGCTCGCATCAAGTACTTCCAGAGCCTCGTTAGCATGTGTGTTCTCCATAAGCTCTGGTTCTTGCCCTGGTTCCGGCTCGGGCTCTGCATCTTGATTTGTCAAATCTGCGAAGACATCGTCAAGGTTCTGCCGGGGACTGCTGTCAAATGGATTTTCATTATCGACATCAACCACTGGTGGCTCGTTTTCTGGGCCCTGATTAAACTGCGGAGAGCTAAAGAGAGATGCATCAAGTCCCTGGTGACCTGGAGAAGGGGAGCGCACAGGGAATGATGGGGAGTGCGCGGCAGCGTGTGGCAGAAAAGCAGAAGAGCCGGGAGCGAAGGCCGGTGTAGAGTCGCTTGCAGGAAGCGAATAATTGGCAGAGAAAGGATAAGGCGGGCTTTGGGCATCGGTCATTGGCGCTAACGTAGGTTCACCACGATTGGAATCGGAATTCGAGCCATCGCCCGGCGTTTGTGATTCAGGAAGCAGGGAAGACTTGCCCGACTGTAGATCAATAGATTTACGGCTAGGTTGTTTTGTACGCAAATGAGGAGGGAGATCCTCGGGACGGTCAACACCGAGCTGTGCCATAATCTTTTGCTGTTTTGTTGGACGTGGCTTGCGAGTCGAAAGAGACTGTTCCAGGATCGGAGGCGCTTCTGGTGCCACCGGAGCCCATTTATGAATCTCCTGTCGGAAGAAGTTGGTTTCGTAGGCCAACAAGACCTCCGCACCTTCTATCTTCCGGAGATAGAATATCAATGTGGGAACCTCCTCGGTAGTGGTGCACGCGGCGTTGGTGAAGCCATGGAGGAAATCTCGAAACCCAACTGCTTGATTGACAATGTTGTCCAAGGTTTGTTCCTCATCAGGTTGGAAAGGCAAGCCTGCGATTTCGGCCTGCCAATCTAGAAGATCTTCTAGCTTTGGACGAGCCGCATCTCGGGGTATTTTTTGGCGCCAATCGCAGATAGGGCAGGTATACTTGTCAAACTCCTTGACTTTGCCTCTTGCAATCTTGAGGCACTTGCCGTGATACCTATTATGAATGAGGGTTAGCCAGTGCCTATATCATTATATAACCGAAGGGGGTGGGAGCAAGGAAGACCGACCACTCGTGGCAGACTTCACACTCAATCATCATTCCAGCTTCAGAGTGCCTGCAGATACAGAAGACGTCTCGCTTCCGCGATTTCCCACCGCCCCACATGCTAGGAGTGATAGTGTTATTGTCTAACAAACCATCGGGGGTGTTATCTCGCGATGAAGGTTCGACCGGCGGTCGACAGCGATCTTCCAAATCAAAACAGTAAGAGTTCCTCTTTTCAACATACTCCATATGCGACTTCAAGATGTGAAGCGGCGCATTTGCCTTTCCGAATAGTTTCTTGCCTTTTCTCATCCAATCCTCATGGCGCTTCTGCTCACGTTCCAGGTCAATGGCTCCAGTTGGCCGGCTGTTCAGCTCCTCAAGGGACTCCATGAGTTCGCGGACTTCCTTGTATTTAGGGCGGTTCCTGAATTCCGGATCCCTGCTTCTCTCGTACAGAGACTGGATTTTCTTCTGCGCTTCACGCTGTTTTGTCAATATGGCATCTACCGCAGAAAGCGTCTCAGGGGAGACAGGGAAACGGGAAGCCTGGGCAGACAAAGCTTCCAGCTGCTGGTAGTGAACGGCTTCTACAGACATCAATTCCTTGGCTTTAGCTTCCCAGGCCTCACCATGGCGGCATAGATCCTTAAAATAGACCAGATGATCGTTGGTATCCGACAAACCCAGCTGCTCACCAGCCAGGATTAGCTCTTGACAGTCCTTGAGCGTCAGGTACTGATCGCGCTTCCGGCGCGCTTC